ACAACTGGCTTTAAACTGCCTAAGAAAACAAGACGAATGGGTCTGCTAGTGAACACGTACAAAACGAAATATTACTGCCATTGTTAGCAGTCGATAACTTTGAGGTTACAGTCAATTAAGTCTGACCTGGGGTCCAGCATGTTCACCGTACTTTGAACACAAGTCAACAACTGACCTTTCTTTTGACTTTTCAACCCAACCCTCCTGCGGTCTAATATCAGTTAAGCTGTAAATTTAGGCATTGACTTGATCTGATCTCAACATCAATTATTTCCTCCTTAGACCTTGATCTGCGTTATTATTTCGCAATTTCAAATTTTTTTATACATAAAATCCATAAGCACAAGCACTTCAACAATTCTAGGTATTTCAAAAAAAGGGTCACCCAACTATTTTCATAATTGGCGGTATGCGAAGCAAAAGAATTTCATTCGATTCTCCCATGCGATGCTGACACACTCACGTGAATGTGTTAATATATATGTACATATGTACATTAAAGCGATTAACACCTGTTAATAGCCACAGCCACACGAAATAATCCAAATAAATAAATATTGTCGGTGGCGTGTATGTATGTGTGTCTATTAAAATGCGCTCATGCATATGCATATACTTAATTAATGCATATATATATATATATATATATATATACATATATGCATATTTATACCTTTAATCATGTTTACATGTTTACACAGTACACCCAAACAAGCGTTCCGGTGTGTATACACATACATATATACATACGAGTATATGTTTGCACAATGCATTTCGTTTATTTTCTGTTTGTATGTACATATATGTATGTATAATTAAAAGCTTGTCAGTACACATTTTTATTATGACATATTAACATTAATTTCTCGGAAACCACAACAAACATGCTGGACATATTTATACACACATATGTTTTTGCTAACTTATTTTGATGCATATGTACAAATTATATATGTGCGTATGGATGTGAGTTTTATGCTTGCGTGCTTGTTTGTTTGTGTATTTGTTCAAAAATGTATTAGTTTTATTTCCTATGAAACACTCGTTACAAGTAAATTAAGTTGGCAAAAAAGCTCTCGTGCTCATGCATACATATACATACATACTATGTGCATACTTGTTTGTTGTTTAATTATCGCTTACACACATGGGAAGTGGCGTTTTTTATAAACTTTATTACATTGTATAGCAATAACCTGTGACCTCAAAGGCACGACAAAAGCTTATCACAATCATAATCTCGTGTGTACAGCATTTTCATTTATATCTACAATAGATTTATGTATGTGTGTGTGGAAAAATATAAATTTTGTAATCCAACTCAAAGTTATTTCTATGGATTTCATTAATTTTTTTTACCGGAAATCCTCGCGAATTTTAGAATTACGTATAATTAAATAAAGTTGCATACTTTTAGGCGCTTTTTGAGAAAAAGGATTGAATGGCACGATGTGTTATAAATTCGGGTAGAATCGCGTAAGCGGTGTCTACGCCAGTAAAGTAAGTAAGTAAGTAATATTTGTTAGTGCTAAATTTCAATCAGACATGAAACCAGTTATTCTTGTTGTGGAATAAATTTGAATCTTTTCACAAATCTTTTCAAATATTTTTATATTTCGTAGTTTAATAACTTGGAAGAAATATATTTCTGTTGAATTTTTCTTTCTTTTTTTCATTTCAATAATTCTCAAAATTGTTGAGAAACATTTTTTAAGGCGAATTAGTATCAGCCTTTATTTCTAGTTTTAAAATAAATATTTAGTATTAAAAAAAGAGAAAAAAAAAGAAGTTTGTAATGTTCGTAGCAATTCTTTTTCTTTCTCTATGTCTAACGAATTGCAAATTATAAAACACCTAAAAAATTAGTTGATACGAGTTTCAATCCTGACAAAACCTATTAAAACAAATTCGAAACAAAAATTATTATAGTTGTTGTCGACCTCAGGCACGGTTGTATTTCCTATACATAAAAGAAAAAAATCAATCCTTATAAAAGTCAATGAAATATTAAGGTATACCACAAATAATGTTAATTGAAATTACATTTATGTATATATTAGGTCAAGTAAAAAGTCATACATAAAAGAAAAAAATCAATCCTTATAAAAGTCAATGAAATATTAAGGTATACCACAAATAATGTTAATTGAAATTACATTTATGTATATATTAGGTCAAGTAAAAAGTCATCCATTATTTTTGCATCAAATTGAAGGCTTTAATTTACCATATTTAGAATTATCCGATTTATGTCAAATTTGCACCGTTTTGCGCTATAACGTTTCGAAATTTTGAAGGTAAAGTCAAGGTAAAGTGATGCTTCATTCATAGAACTCCTTGTTCCAATGACAAAAATTGGTACAATCACATTTCACAAGCTTCACTTGAGGCCAATTCTTCACCAGCCAAATCGCCATAGACAGGAACAGATGGTAATCACTTGGATAATAAGTTGGATGCATAATAACCTTCCGACCAAGGTCTCGGGCCTACTGGCGAGTCACTGCCCTTCGACCTTGATCGTTTTCATTTGCGTTATTGTAATCCATTTCATCACCAGTCACCGCTCGCTTTAGAAATGGGTCGATTTTGCACGATTCAGCAGCGAACCAGAAGTTTGGTTCATGAGTTTTTTCTTGTTAACGCATGTAGCACCCATACATCAAGCTTCTTTGTGGATACGGCGTTTTCCAAGTGGTTGCAAACTGTTTTACGTGTGCTCGCATGGCAGTCAGACTCGACATATTCTATTATTTTATCAAAATTTTCGACATTTGGCTTCAGACAAAGCTTCCATCAAAATCACTACAACGAAATCGACGAAAGCCAAATTGTGACAGCTGACTGAGCTGCGTTTTCGACTTTAGAACCCAAGATACAAATCACTAAATAGTGGAAAATCTTTTACTAGACCTAATATAAAATACATATATACAATACATTCAAAATGCGTATATATATATATATATATATATATATATATATATATATATATATATATATATAACTAGGATATCTATAACCATGAATAAATAAAGTTTTGCGTACGTAAATATTCAGTTTGTATTTATTCGAAAGAAGAAGAAGAACAAGAAGAGATTAATTGTTTGCAACTATGAACACAAAGTCAATTTAATTGCTCTTAAAAGGATTATTATGCATACGCATGTGCATACACACATCCATGCATCTTGTGGGCTTAAAATTTGTTTATGAAACTATTTTCCGTTATAACTGTTAAATTGTATATATATATAGCATGTAGGCTTACTGAAAGGTAAAAAAATCTTCGTTGTTGTATTTAAGTTGCTGTAAATTTCATTAAATTTGCTATTTGCATACTCAATTCAATTTAATTATTGACAAAAAGATCCTGTATTGGCCTTTTAGCTATTTAAAATAATTATCATATTAAGCAAGATTTGTTGTGGTGAATGAGATGAGTTAATTGAGCGTAAGTAAATTAAATTTCTACAGCACTGCTATAGCATGGAATATGCCATGGCGTATACGTAACTAACTTATAATGTAGTTAAGCTAAAAGTCTTTAATTTGAAACTCAAATTCTCCGAGAGCACGTGATAAACTTCAAAAATGTTTAGTTTTAACCAGGGACTGTAAATAATAAATGGCTGTGTTTTTTTTTTTTTTTTTTAATTCGAACCAGAAGGCGACTACTTGCGTCCTCTTTTCAGGTCTGAATTGATTTATCATTTCGCTCAGAGAATAATCATTGATTTTGTATCGTCATTTTTTTTCCTTGGATAACAACTTTTTCAACCATTCGATTTATAAGGTCATATATCCATCTTTCAGAAAATTTCCTTAAAAAAAGAGTAGAGCGAGTTTCAGCACTATTTTTTATAGCGAAAAAATAGTGTTTTTTGTTTGAGCGCTTAAAGGCCCCGATAGTCTGGAACTCGAGAGTTTGTGGTATAATGAAATTTTTTATTTTATATTTAAATAAACAAATTTAATAAATAAGCCTAAAACATTCAAATAGCGTTTAGGCTTATTTATCAAATTTGTTCTTAAATTAAAAATAATTAAAAATATATTTATTATTTTAAAAATGGTGCAGAAGTTGACTCACCCGCAAACTTGGTCTGTACGGTATTGTCAACATTAACTCTTCTATTTATCTATATTATAATTAACATTGAAAAATAAATCTTACAAATGTGCCTGCATGTGGGCCATTTCTTCTTTATTAACCTTTTTCTTACCAATTTTGTTACCAAAAAAATGAAGCATATCGTAAGGAGTTGTTATTATAAACTGCTGATTATACTATTTTCGCGGCTATATTTCTTAATGTGTTTTTTCCTATTAATTTTTAATACGGATTTAGCTAGAAAATATGCTAAAAATTGAATTTTTTTCACTTTTTTTTTTTTATTTATGCAATGCACTGAAAGTCGTTTATATAGTTCTGAATACTTTATATTATAGATTTATGTATTTTTTTTTAATTTATTAATGAAACATTTTATAATGCTTTAAAAAGGAATTTTAAAGGTTGGAAATTCAGATTTCAATTTTTTTATTTTCCGTTATTTTCTTCATCTCTAAACACATTTCTCTATTACCTTGACGTCTAAATAATTTTAATCAATAAACAGCATCGTCTATTTATCCTTGCCAATTATAGCCCATTTATAGCGACTATAAGCATGAATGACACCCCCATACACACACACACACACACACGCACTCAAATACAGAGAGCTCTTTATCTCGACAACTCATTGTTATGGATTTCTGTTGTGCTATATACATACACGTATATATGTATGTATTTAACTCATGAATAATTAATTCGTGCAATGGATCACAATAAAGATTTTTAGCTTCATCTGAATAAATAGTCCACTAGTGAGTGTGGCTTGTAGTCGTTGTTGCTTTTATTTCGTTCAGTTTGTCGTATATGTGTATATATACTAGTGTGTTCTTAAGGCAATCCATCCGTACGTACAATATGGTTCATTATCAATACTTACATACATACGAATTTGTAGATGTTTGAGTTTATGAATAGCGGCCAGGAGCGTGCCAATATCAATGCATTCTACTGGAAATAGCTGAGCTGAGCTGAGATGAAAAGCGTTGTTCGATGAAGTGAAAATGATACGCTACCTCACAACATTTATAGTTGGAATTTGTAAAATAAACATCTACAATATTAGACAATGCACAGTGATGAGATTGTAATATCCTTTTGTGACTTTGTTTAAGCAAAATGAAAATAAAATAAAAATTTAAAATATGATACGTTATGAAAGAAGCAATAAAACTTTGCTGCTTAGATTTTCATATTTTATTTCGTTTTACTTTAATATTTTAATTACTTTTAACAACTTTATTGATAGCATCGATTTGAGGAAATTCGGTTAAACTATTTAAATAGGTGTTTCAAATTCACGAGAGGGAATAACCCCAAAATGATAAGGAAAAAAGATTAATGCATATCTCAACCAAATTTGTTGCCTACATTTAGGCGCATTAGAACAAATTTCAAGCTCCAGCTTCTCAAAGAAAGTTTCGATGTCAACTACTGATGCGACTCTAAATCTACGTATTATAAATTTTGTAAGCATAAAAATGAACTAAATCCAAACGGGTTGTATATGTATTTATATGTTTGTTTTAAAATAGCAGTAGCAGCGTCATCTGTTGAGAATATAATTAAAAGGTAGCCTTGTAACTGATCAGAACTAATTATATCTTACTTTGGTCCAAGGCATGTAAGAAGTACCTAGAGGAGAAGAGATAGACCCAGCAAAATTTATACCGACCGAGTTAGAATGGCGAATTATTTGTTTATATGTATGCAAACTAGTCCCTCAGTTTTTGCGATTTTCCTACCAAACTTGATACACAATTGCCCTGGTATATGACATCTAGCATGTATACGACAGATTTTGCAGATTTGAGATTTTGAATCATAAATTTCAAAAAAAAAAAAAAAANTTTGTGTAAAATCAAAAAAAAAAAAAAAAAAACATCTGAGGAGCGATTTGTTCAGATATGAGAATTAATATTTAATCCTAAAATGAAATATTATAAATTCTATTGATCATGAAAGGTATAAGACTTCGGCAGAAGCAATGACAGATCTTCCTATTATTCCTGTTTTTATATAAACAACATATAACATTTCTCTTTCATAATCTCATCACTTTCGAAGTGTATTTAAATCATTCTAGATCGGTTCTGGTTTCTTTTTCGAATTTTGACTCATCACTATTTTATAGACCAGCGACACTCATATGCGTTGTTTAACCCTTCCAGTGTATGAACTTTCCATTGTAAACTCGAAGAATCTTCGCTGAGTTTATCGAAATCTCAATAACATAATGATCGCTATAAATAAATTAGTAAATCACCATCTCGAGTAGAATAAAATATCTGACTTCATACTTTCATATAGCCATATAGCAGAGGTGTGCTTTAATTTGCTCGTTTATACACTTATCCTTTGGTAATTTTCTAACACTTCAAGCCGCCTCAATCTCTGCCATGTGTCCAACCCACTTCAACTTTTCAACTTGACAACAGAATATACTTATACTTGTATACTTGTCTTTGCTTTGGCCTTCCGAAGCGTGTATATTCATGTACAATACATACATATACACGTACGAGTGTATGTATATTTATATTTTTAATATGCTTCTTTGCCAACTTTCCCATGCTTGTGTCTTTGGCCAGTAAGCCGCTTGCCTCTTATCGTGTTTCCAGGAATATGCCATGTTAACTAGCCGTGCATATCGGTGGGATTAGTACAAGGTGCCAATATGTATTGATTATTTCTTTTTGAAGCTATTGTTGCCATCGTCGCTTCTCATTGTATGCGCCTTTTTTTCCATATTCAATTAAGCTATCCTTTTTTCATGTTTCTTATATTATATTATTTTCTAAATTTTTTTCTTCGTTTTTTTTCTTTTTTTTGCAGATTGGTAGCCACGAGGGTACTTGGGTGGTCGCCGATTACATAGCTACGCCTGGCTCCAATGAGTTGAGTGTGTCTAAAGGGCAACAAGTTGAGGTTGTAGAAGCACCATCAGCTGCCGAGCCAGATTTCTGTTTAGTACGTCTAAATCCGCAAAGCGACGATGCAGCTGTACAAGAAGGTTTGGTGCCTGTTTCGATACTTAAACCATCGCCAGGCGCACAGAAGAGCAGTTCAGCGCGGAAGGAAACAGCAAACGATGTCATGCAGGAGCAAGGTTAGTTGTTGTGTAGTGGATTAAATGAAATTAAGAAAATCCTATAAAGTGTTAATTTTATTTTAAATATAATCTCTTTATGCCTCTACCAGCTAACAATCGCGGCAAACCTGACCCATTGACTTCATCAACCAAACGTCGTGGATTTAGCGGGTAAGTTTTCTTGCTTCTCTTTATTTTTTACTTCTTTTGTGTGCCAAACAAAAAGGTTGCGTTGATTTCTAATTTGTGCATGGAGAAAAACTTCGAAAGGGCAAAGTTAAAAGTGAGAAGTGTTGAAGTTACAGGAAATATTTAATAAAAGTTATGCAAAGTTGCAAAGAGAGGCACATAAAAGTAAATATGATAGCTTGAGCAGCAAATCCTAGCATACTTTTAGTGACTTCACGTGAAGTACTGTTAACAATGGGGAGAAAGTGAAAAATTCTTGGGGTTAAGTGAAGTAACTTAGCACCATGCAATGAAATTAATAGGCAAAACAGAAAAGAATTTCAGTCCAGTAGTGCAGAAAATACGATTTACCATACAAAATATTGTATTGAGACTTAAACAAAGTGTTGCTGGCAGTTGGGAAATTTTTAGTGATATAGTTAAAAGTTAGTGGGAATAAAAATAGATCATATAACGATTTCTATGTTAATATTTAAACAATTCGCAATGTACTTAGAAAAATATTGGGTACTGTTGTGCCTGCAGTAGATCTCCTAGTGAACTTGCACAATAAGGTATCTGGCTGTGAGGAAGATATTGCAGATCCAAATTATTTGAAAAATATCAAACAAATAATTTATTTTTAGGTAAGATAAATACATGTAAAGATCGATGGATAAGTTAAAATTTTTTTTTTGTTTAATTTTTCCATAATAACGGCTCTATAAATATATACATTTTAATTTATTTTTGTAAACGAATGGCAGAAACCTTATTATTACCTCACGAAAATATCTAAGGACATCATGTGAAAATTTCACCTCGATTGGTCCTGTCATTTGGGACTAATGTTTCTCTCCGTCTTTGCAAGTATCCTTTCGAGGAAAATGCTTTAAAAGTTTCCGATTTACATTCCGCATACTTTAAAATACTCTAACTTCACCGAAACTGTTTGCCGGATTAGTGGAAAGTTTTCGGACAATATTCTTAAATATATTTTCAAAATTGCAGTGGATATCCCCTAAAAGCAATGTAATCAATAGATAAGTGCATTTTTGATCCATTTTAATTTCTATTACTAATAACTGAAAAACAGTGCAAAGTAGAACCTAAAATATTTCTGAACATATGGTTCAGCTCGAGCTCAAGCAAAGATTACACAGGTCAACAAATTCCTCTAAAAAATTTTAATTAATTTCTACTTACCGTACTGAACTCAAATTGGTAAGCAAAATTCATTTATTAGTTTATGTTTTTGGGAATACTTAAGTGGTAAAAGTGAAAAAATAACTTAATTAATCTACTCTACAATCGGCTACTCGTCCTTTGTCCCACAACAATCTTCATCATATTCCGAAACATCCTAATATTGACGAACATAATGTTTTACATTTTACTAGGTCTAATATATTAGGGGAATCCATTATCTCGTGTTATATAATCGGGTTCCGCGAGATGCCGTTAGAAAGATGGAATTTTGTGCTAAAAAAAAAACTTTTCTGGCAGTTTTGTGACTGGTTGATTCAGTTTTTCTTGAGCGTGCGTCAAAGACGGGCACTAAAAAAGAAAAAATACGCTATATTTTACAGTTTTTCTTCGATAAGGGCAAAAACTGATGCCAAGCGGCTAAAAATGTGTATAGCGATTATGGTCCTGATACTGTTACAGTCAATCATGCACAAATTCGGTTTCATTCCAGTAATATTGAAGAAAAAAAACGCTTCACGGAGGAGAAGGCCAATTGTCGAAAATGTTGATAAAAATCATGGACATTGTCGTATCCGACGGTCATGTAAGCACTGTTTCGTTTGACGAAGAGCTAAAGAGCTGATTACGAAAAGTACAAATTAAAGTCCTCAATTTCATGCAAAAGTAATGGATTTATTTTCATTACACCAATATTAATTATTTTTGAATTCAGTACAGGAAAGCAAAACAAAAAAAATGTTACTTTACATAAGGAATACTTTTTTACTTTTTTTTTTATGAATATATTGATGAGTGCATAAGTTCGTGCCCGATTCCGCTGGATACCGTTCGAATCGTTTGAGAGTGGCGCTCGTGAAAGAAATATATACATATTATATATCGTTGGAAAGGTGACAGTCTGAACTGTAAATCAAGCATAAAATAACTTCATTTTGATATGATTTGCTTAGTGAAAAGACGCATGGAAGATGGACAACGAAAAAGATCATATGCGTCATATTATGTTATACGAATTCCGCAAAGGAAAAACAGTAGGCGCTGCAACTAAAGTTATTCGCGAAGTTTATTTGGACCGTGCTCCAGCACTCCGCACAGTAAAGAAATGGTTCGCGAAATTTCGTTTTGGAGATTATAGCCTTGAAGATCAACCTCGCAGTGGACGGCCTTCTGAGCTTGAGGACGATGTTCTAAGGACTTTAGTTGCGAATAACTCACGTATTTCGACGGAAGAGGTTGCCAGTGAATTGAACGTCAACAAATCAACTGCGTTTCGTCGTTTAAAAAAGGTTGGGTACACTTTGAAGCTCGATACATGGGTGCCACATCAGTTGAGTGAAAAAAACAAAGTGGACCGTATGTCAACAGCAATTTCTTTGCTTCGACGGATCAAAAACGAACCTTTTTTGGATCGGCTCGTGACTGGTGATGAAAAATGGATCCTGTACAACAATGTTCAACGCAAAAGAACATGGAAACAGGCACACGAAGGGGCGGAACCGATGTCAAAAGGTGGTTTGCATCCGATGAAGGTACTGCTGTGCATTTGGTGGGATATCCGAGGCTCTTGCCAGCTGGAGAAACGATCACTGCCAACAAGTATTGCCAGCAATTGGTCGAATTGAAGAAAGCAATTAAATCATGCTGCATCCCCCATATTCACCCGACATTGCACCTTCTGATTATCATTTGTTTCGATCGCTGCAGAACAATTTGTATGGAAAAAAATTTAAAAATGTGGAAGACGTCAAAAACCACCTTGACACCTTTTTCAACGAGAAACCGCGCGATTTCTATGATTAAATTGGTAAATTGAATTGGTAAGTTTAAATTGGTTGAACGTTGGGAGTGAATTGCCGAACATGATGGCGAATACATAACTGATTAATAAAAGCGCTTTCATCAAAAAATTTCAATTTTAGTTTGCACTTGAAATCGGGCACGAACTTATGCACTCATCCAATATATGTATACATACTTTAGCATTTTATAATCAAAATAATTAAATAGTTAAATGACCGAAATACATAAGTTAATGTCAATACAAGAATAATAAATAGGAAAGAGTCTTCGAAGTCTATATACCTTTCATGACCAAATCAAATTTTTAGTATTTTATTTTAGAATTTAATACTAACTATCATATCTAAGCAAATCATTTAGGAGATATACATATTTGATATACATAGTACACCAATTTCGATGATCTTCGGGTTGGGGGTTCAAGAATTTACCCGCGGTAAGGCATGCGTATAAGGCGACTAAAATCCAATAGTTCCCGCTGCAGTTGGGTCTTTACACCGGAACAATCCGGATTTTTATCCGGCCAAGGACTGTCACCCTAGCAACATTCCCCAAAGAGTACTTTAGGGAGTATTTTTGTTTATTTGTAGATATGTATGTGTGGTAGAATATCGAATTTTATATTCTTGGATGATTTTTTGATGGCCCAAATTCAAATCTGAAAAATCGACCGTATATATAGTATGTATAGATGTCGCATCTGGCCGGTTCCGACAAATGATCGTGTAAATGTGCCAGTGCATTTGTGTAACAAGTTGTGACTAAATCCGTAAAAATGTTGATGGGTCTATGTCTTCTGCTTCTCATTGCCTACATAGAATAATTCGCACCAATGTGAAAGACCGTTTCATGTACATGAAAGGTATAAAATGTTTAAAAAGAATGAGAAGCAACTATTTAATATGAATAGGTATGTGTATATACTGAAATACACATTAACATATATATTGTAGATATGCTCTCAAGCACATACATATATGTACGCTTAATAATAATATTATATATATGTATACGAAAGTCGTTTTTTTTTTCTCTCTTTATGTGTTTTCTATGCACTTTTCGTCTTATCATTTACGTATTAGCGTCATACTCCACTTAAATGCTTATCGTGTTTACCATTGTTGTTTTCTGTATTTCATTATACTGTGTAGCAAACTTTTCGGGTTCCAGGTATCTCGAAGAACCACACCAGCTATCGTTTTTTTGTTTTAATTTTTTTTTTTTTTTACAACCACAATATTTTTTGATTTTTTGTACGCTTTGATATAAGTATATATTAGGTTATATTTTGGGTAAACTCTTTGGTCTCCATACTATTTTTCGTTGCTTAATATTTTAGCACTAAAAACAATGGCAAAACATGCAACTTGCCTTCCTCTGTTTTTTTTTATGATGTTTCAATACACTTTTTGGTGTAGAAGTTTTAAGGAAGATCGTAAAATCTGTTAGTACGAGCGCAAATAGTTGCTATCGAATTTATTATGTACGAAAATATGATTTCCAATGAATCTCACACAAAAAAACGACTATGACTACGTTTTCGGTATTTGGTAATTCCCTTGAATATTATACGAGCCGTTTTGTGATAAGTAATTATAAAGAAAAACTGTCTTAGCAGTAAAAGTTCTTCTAGTAGCAGCTCGGACAAATATATTTCAATGGTGTTACTGAAGAATTGTTTCGTAAATTGTTTGTGTTCTGCAAGTAAAAAAGGCCATCTCTCTCTGCGCGGACATCTTTTAAATTTGTTCAACTCTTGGTTAAATAGCGCAAATTCGGACTATCTCACGTTCCATATATATACTTATTCCTTGATGAGTACCCTTCATCAGATATTTTGTATTTGTGAGAAGACCTGAGTCCTTCTCTTCTACTACATCTTGTCTAATTTTCTATTTCATCGTTTCACTAAAGAAAACATCACACTGAAAATTCCATGGAAAGATTACTACAACAAGTAGTTCCGATATTCAAATCATAACATCAGATCAGCG